CCCCCCCCCCCCCCCCCCGGAATCATCACGCCGACGCCCTTCACCCTTTTTGGGGTCAATTTTTGTCCACTTGGACGGAACGTCGCAACACAGACACCTTAACTGGGGGTGATACAATACGCCAGCAAATACAAAAAGCGCTGGTGCCATCGCCGTGTGTCATATGGGGACCCAGCAGTGCAATACTTTGAGCTGTCAAGCTACATGTAGCCGTGCTGTGTTTTCAGCTGAACACCACCGCCTTGGGGGAAGGCTTTCGTCGAAGGACAAGAGCTATGGAGGTTCGTTCCTGCATTACCCTGGAGCGGAGTTTCGTTCGGCTTGAGACACGACAGATAGATGGGTGTTTCAATCGTGCGGGGCCTCGGATCGGAGGCACGTTTGGCGCAGGGGAGAAGGAAGAGCAAAAAACGACGGGAAAAGTAAAGCACCCACACAGGGTCTAGGGGGTGACGTCATGAATCCGAACCCCCCTTGGTTGGAATGTTCAACTGAACGAAAAAACAATGTCAACAACTCGAACGCTAAGGAATATTAATATTTGCTAGTTTATCCCGGACTCTTCATCTGTGGATGGAGATGAATTGTTTGTTGTGTTATTTGCAATGCACAAAAACGGTGCTTATATTGTAGCCCGAAGGGGTAGGTCTCTCTTTGATTGTATGTATGTTATCCTACAAAAAACACGTGCAAACTTAAAACTTAAAAAAATCTGTTGCTGAACCAGCAGCACTTTTTCCCCTAGTCCCTCGTCTTGTAAATCTCACCAGCGTGTGCTTGAGCGGCTCCCTGAGGTACCGCCACACCTCCGCCGTGAAGACCGCCTTCTCCCCGCCGCCACCCGCCGCGGACAGAGCCTTCCCGGCATCGTCAGCCGCCTGCTGCATCGAGTACAGCGCCTTCCTCCTCCTCTCCCAGTCGTCCGGGTTGCCCGACACCTCCTGCGCCAGGGAGAGCGCCGCTGCCTCGAGGGTCCCCGCGGCAGGCTTTTTGGATAATATTTTTTCCGTCCCGCGATGTTAATGGGATGGTTTTATGGCAGAACGGCGACGATATTCACCGCAACCAAGGGAACGGGGGGGGCGGGCATATGACGGCGTGACAAGGTGGCTATTTAGGTCATCTGGTGTGTACGCATGTCAAAGGACAGACAACTACAGAGCTGTCCCAAATTTAGAATTTTGGATTACCGTCACGTCGCTCTCGCCATGGGTCTGGGAACGTTACCTAGAAATCGACACAGCAGCACAGCAGTTAGTCTGCCTGCTGTAAACGCGAATAATTAGCGGCGGCGCACAATAGCACGCGGAATAACGAAGTCGGCTACCTGTCCAACAAATTTGTCGTCTGTCACTCTGTCACGGAGCCCTTGGCCAGACTTTGCGGCGCAATCGCGATCTACAAATATATCGCTGTCCGTCGTTCGTCGGACAAGTGCCGTTTAGGCATCATAGATTGCGATACTTTTTTGCGCTAGAATTTTGGATTAGATGGAACACTTGCAGGGGAGCGGTGGGAGTTGTTCCAAAGTAACTCCAAACCCAATCATTCTAATGAAGAAGCCGACGAACACAGCCATAGGGCCACCGCAACAAGTACAATCGAAAGGCCGTTCATATCTTCATTGGGTGTAACACAGGTGTTGTTTTCTTGTGTTTTTTTCAAACGTATATTGTTGGGCGCCAGTGTTACACGATCCTTCGGTGTATGCCAGCCACATGGTTGACGCACCAGCCAGCAGGGTGAAAGGCGGACGGTCTATGTATGTATGTAGAAACACTCGGACATCTAGAAACTGACTGCATGCAGTATTACAGCAGTATATGGTAGGTGTGTATTGTGAAGGCGAGTAGAGTTGGTTCCCAGCAGCAATTTCTTCCCTCGCTTTTGGTTGTTTACACTCACGACTGCGACCCCACCACGTCCAAGCGCGGGAGCCGTCACCGATACGATAATAGCGGCCAGCAAGTCTTGCTCATTGCATATGTAGCTTGAAAGTCGGAGTCTCTCGGGTGACAGCAGTCTGTTTACAGAAAAAAAGGTCGTTGGTGTATTTTGAACTCTTGGACAATGACAAGACAGCCTCGAAGAGCAGCGTAGAATCCCCAAAAACAGCCACGATCGTTTGAAAGCTCTTCAGGAAAACCAAGCATCCCTCTCTAGCTCGCTTCTGGGAGGAGCAACGGCGCTGTAGCTTGATGGGTATGGCCTTCCTTGCATTGAAAAACACCCCGTGGCGGAGTAGCAGCAGCCGCAGCAGCAGCTTGAGCGGGGAACGGAAAAACCAAAACAAAATCAGCCTCCCTTACCTTCCGACTCATGGTGCCCACGACAGAGCTCCTGCTTCAGCGGCAAAATCGACTCCTGCACAACGGAAGGCGAGAGTACCCTGTGCCAAGCGCGTGATACAGCCCTCTCTGCTCTACACCCAGTCAGTCCAGTGCTGAGTGTGCCTGTCACCGGACTGCAGCAGAAAGCTGTGAGGGGCTCCGCAGAAAGAGGCTGTGAGGTGCTCGGTATGTGCCGGGCAGAAAAACCGAACCTTTTTTCGTGTCTTCGTTTGCCGCAGCGTATCTTGTCGACGAAATCTGCAACGATGTCCGTGTCTCTTAACGTGTTGCTCGATGTTCGTAAGCCGGATCAAGGGCTTATTCAGGTGGGGCGTTCCTAGCGACCTGGAAATGTCTCACTGGTACGCTGCGGCGCCGAAATTATCTACAAATGCCGCGTGTCATTGCAAGATATCGGGTCAGTTGGTCGTGTGCACATGTTCCTGTGGGGAAGCTGCGATACCCATTGACCCTTGCTATATCCCAACAGGTGGTGGAGGCGGCGGGCTTGCTGCTGGGGATCGAGAACACGGGTGAAAGTCAAAGTCCTGAGGCACCTGTCTATAGGGTAGGTGGACATTCGAGTAGCCGGGCCAGCAAACAATTTCGCACATACATACTTAGATATCTCGTACACGGTTTGCCGATGCATGTATATCTGCGCTAAACTGCTGTACATACACAGAACACATGCTGTAGGCATGCATTGTACGGCATTTCGAGAACAGAAGACGCAACCCGAGTAGCTGCGGCGTTTTGAGGTTGCGGTTGTTGCTTGAAGTACGTCGCGATCATGAGAAAACAGGCACATATCGTGCCTGTCGTTCCGATTGACCGATGCCCGTGCGTTGGACAAACTGTGTCCATAATTGCTCTGGCCGCAGTAGTGTCATGTACGGGAAAACAATCCACTCATCTGGCTCGCGAAAGCCGTTGTTCCAAGTCACCGCGTTGGTGTTCGATGGACAGTAGTTGTCTTGGAGACATCCTACAATCTGATGGAGGGGACACACAACTTCATCTTTTCCTGCGCAGAAGCTCGACTGACGACGTGATCTTCTTCTTAACGTTCGTTTTTTCCTCTTTCACATCTTCTGTACGGAACAACTATGCGTCAGACCGTGCCTGCTGGGTCTATCTACGGATCGACCCTTCAAGCCATAACGCGACAACCAACCCCCGAAGTGTTGGAACGCCTGAGGTTGCTCGATCTAGCGTCCATCAGCGATGAGGTCGCTCACGAAGTATTTTCGAAGGTAAAAGTACGGTGGGAGAGAACTACCCGCAGATCTCGCACCTGGCGCGCAACGCTGTTCATATGCATACATACGCCGCTCCTGTGCCGACAAGAGCGGAAGCAGAGACGATCCGGAACCGTTCTTGTAGAAAGAGATGGGAATCATTGATTTGCAAAGAGGCAGGCTTGTGCTCGAAGTTAAGCATGGCATGTATTGTAAATCAAGCATCTCATCAAACGACTCCGAACACCAAGGACATCCTGTCCCCGAAACCCCGCCACGCAATGGAACTCCATTACTGTAAACACCTCCCTTGCCCCATAGACCCTGCAAGCGGGCTTCGCCTCTGCTGGAAACATCCGCGGCTCGCCGGGGCTAGCGCCGCCATGGGCAACAAGTAAAAGCAGCGCCTTCGCCAGCGGCGGAAGATCCCCCGCTGACCATCACCACACGGGAAGCCTCCAAGGCGGTTTCGCCGATGGCACCAGGGTGCTACCCTCGGGGTCTAAGACGGAGAACGCCTGGAGCAGCAGCGGCGGCAGCGGCAGCAGCAGCAGCGCGGCCGTTGGAGGGGCGGCAAAGAGTGAGGCCGACGAAGTCGTGCACGCGCTGAAGCTTGCCGTCGTGGGCGTGACGCGGCGATTGATGGACGAGGCGCGTCTTCTTCCCCTGCAGAACCGAACGACGGCTGTACTGGTCGACGGCAGCCGGATGTCGCTCCTGGCGCTGGAGCTCGCCGGGGCCACCTGGAAGTTTGGCAGGTGCGGTTGGTGCGGGTTTGACGAGAGGTCCTAAGTTGAGGAAACGATCATAGTAGAAACCTCGCGTCCGTGCGTAACGAGCAAACACTGCTGTTTTGGTTTTCTGACTCGAGAGGGACAAATGTCCTACCTTGGTGCGAAACAGTATTGTTTCTCATTTTTTCTGTAGACTCAAGAGAAGCAAATGCCCATGTCTGTTCGGGAAATTGGTGCCTTCGAGTGCACACAGAGTTGTTTCTAGAAGACACTTGTCCAGTAATAATGCATGCATGAACAACCGACAGATCCGTTGAATTTCTTGGAGGACGGTGTCCGTTGCCGCTTTGAAACGCGCTGAAATGAGCGGGGGAAGAAACCCAACGTTTGTTCTACAATAACCCTTCTGGTACATAATCTTGTACAGAAGTATGACATCGAACACCAGACACGTCAAGGCGCTATCACTATGGCGCGCCACAAAAGAGGGCCCCAAAATATTCCTTCACCACAGCACGTTCGTGTCATCCCGCCGTCGGCCAAAGCTTCTGATCGTGTGTGTGACTATAAACCACATTTATACCCACACACGAGGACTCCTCGTCCTTGTTCTATTCGTGCCGCCAAAACGCACGCCCGGAAACGTTCCTCACCACGCGCCAGGTTTGTGGTCGTCCACGTCAGCGGAGAGAAGGACCCGAGCGAGACGACCCACGGCTACGACGAAGAAGGCTGCGGTGGCGGGGAAGGCTTTTCCGGTCGCCGCGATGGGCCAGAGCACGAAGACGGGACAACGGAGATGGGGCGAGAAGGCGGGGTCAGGAGTCGCGGCGCATGCGAGGACGCCGGTGGCGGTGGCGGTGGCGGTGGCGGTGGCGGCGGCGACGGAGGGGGGGAGAGGCGCGGGCGGTGGCACCCGGGCTTCCTGGAGGCCGAGCTGCGAGAGACGTGCCTCCGGCAGCTAGAGATTCCGGTGAGATATCGCGTGGTCGGCGTTTAACAATCGAGATTTTTCGCGTGATGATGCGTTGTTATGTGTGCACACGCTCATTCGAGAGCCCACCCACGTGTACTACTACGATGGCGCGTGTGCTTATCCGGCGACCCTGGAGCCAAACGAAGGTGTTGGTTCGGAGCGGTTTGCGAAGAGCTCCTATGGGGTGCTGATATCGGGGGGCCTTTCGCTGCACCTGACACCCCCATGCGTTCGTTTGGCGCCAACGCTCGTACCTGCACGTACGACGATTCTTGTAGTACCTTTTCCCAGGAGCATAACCGTAAACAGAGTTGGCGTTTCCGTATTCGGGTTGCTTTGCGACCGCGGGAAAATAATTTATGTTTCGAGGAAAAGAGGTATGGAGGATGTAGAGGCTAAGTAGGTGATATTGTTACGAGACCAACAGCAACAACAGCAACCACAACCACAACAACAACCACCACCACAACACGCGCGAGATTTCACATCGCCTGCATCGCTTGTTCCGTTTCCCGCTTTTTGCCTCAGGAAGAGTCTCTCGAGCTAGTGTTCCGATCGCTCCCCCCAGATTCCTCGGGCAACGTTGACGAGGTCACCAAGGCCATTGACGCCACCCTTGCGGAGCGCGGAGTCGAGGTGAACGCGTAGTGCGGTTTGGAGATACACGCAAAGGTCCTACTTGGTTTTTCGCGGCACTATTGGCGGCAAATGCTGTTCCTACTGTATGCAGCGGTTTTCGCTCGTTGAGTATCCAAGGCTAGTCCATTGACGAAGTAGCAGCCCTTGCTGCGCATAGGATCGAGGTGGAGACGAAATGACCCACTCACCCCCCCCGGTGTTTGCCATCGGGGTTGGGTTTTCGTCGCTTGGCGACAACGTCGTAAAACAAGCCGATCACTTCGTGAGCTCGGCAACCAGGTTACCGCTTTTTGTTTAATTGCCTCTGTTTTTTTTTTTGCGGTAGCCATAATGGTGATCGAGTAGATTGCGTTGTGCGGGGTCGAGAACCCTCACTCCGTGCAAGGGGGATGATCGAACCACGTTGTGATAAATTGGTCAAGCACCCTCGAGGCAGTTACACAGTGCTTAAAATTGAGTCTGGAAGTGAAAGCACCAGAAAATAAATTAATTCATACGCAGCTGTCACCCGTACGCAAGGAAGTAAAACCCCAAGATGCTGAACATCCTTAGCAGGATGCAGCGCACCCTTCATGCGACTCGCCGAATACCTCACGGCGCTTCGCGCTTCGTGATGTGAGAGCCTGGTCCGGTGAGAACCCGGCGTGCTCCGTCCCGGCTTTGTAGGGATGCGAGGTCGATGGTCTAACGACTACGGCATGCACGGCAATGTGTACCCACCCACCCCCGCGCGCGCGCATGCTTCCTTCGTGCAGGTGGTGTACATGGGGTGCTACGGGCGTCGGGGCCCCCGTGTGTTGCATTTCGGGACGGTGGCGCATTGGGCGCTGGAGCAAACCCCTTACCAGGCAAGCTGCGGGTTTTCCACGCACCACAGCACCGTAAGGGGGCAGTCGAGGTTGCTCCGGGCCAAGATGTTGGTTCGGTAGGCACGGCATGAGACTGTCGGGTTGAACGTGCTTTGACGTTGGGACTTGAGAGTATCAACAACCACCACCAACAACAACAACAACAGCAGCAGCAGCAGCAACGACAACGCCAACACCGACAACAATTTTGAACGTGCTTGGGAAGTCTCCACATGATGAATACAATAACGACGACAACAGCAACAGCTAAAATGTTCTACGACATCGTCGATACCTCTGGTGTTTTCGTTTGAGCAGATCGTGTTCGCCAAGAAATTCTCTCCGTCCATGGTGTCTCCCGCTTTCTTCTCGAGACCGAAGAGGTATGGGGGCTTCGATAGGCGGCAAGAGAGGGGAGGGGGGTGGGAGAGAGAGAGAGCAGGACGCAGAGACGGGTTGGAAAGGAAAACTTGGCGATGGGTACATGGGTCTAAACGTGAAATTCTTCAGCAATATCGTATTGGGAGGAATATATGTGTTCAGTCTTCACGCCCCACAACAGCCGTTTAACCTTAACCTTTCCTCCCGTGCCTATTGCCTGACTTGCACCCCCCCCCCCCCCCCCCCCCCCCCC